GAATAATAATTAGCTACACTTAGTCCAGATTTTAGAGTTACTATAGTTGGTCAAATCTATTGTCAAACAAATCAATCTATCTCTTTAATATTCAGCATGATAATTACCTATATACATATAGTCTACAAGAGTATTTGGTTCATTTCTGTTTTGTTGCTTTTTGTTAACTGATGATGGGTTGAAGGTAACCCGAAACATGTCTGCCATTAAATCTTTTGTGTTATTTTTAAAATGCGTTGTATTTTTTGTCAACTTACGTCCATTTGGTTCTATTATCAAGGATTTCAGTTCAAGAAGATTACCAGTTTCTTTATTAAGGAAATATGAAAAGATTACTCTTCGTTTGAACAAAGCCGAATTAGATTTTAATTTTTTACATAATATATATATATATATATATATATATATATATATATATATGCTTCGTATTTTACCATTAGTTTACGCCATGAAAGGTGTCTTAATTTGTTACCAGCTTTAACTAAAATACCGTAGGCGTACTCGCGCGAATAAGCGCCCCGTTTGAATAAGCGCATAAACCGCCCCTCATAACATGAAAATTTCCTTAAGCGCCCCGTTTGAATAAGCGCCCCCTCATAAGATATTGCTTTTAGCAAGTCAATAATCCCAACAATCCCGAGACTGGTTTTTTGGCATGATTTGAGCTGTAGAGTGGAAGCACATTCTTCTTCCGTCAATATCAAAATGAGGATATTTCGATTGGACAGATGAGAGCTCGGATCCCTGAAGAGACAATATTTCCAACTTTACTCTTTTCACACTATCTGTCTATACCTAGTCCTACTCCTCTTGTTTTATTCTTTTACGCTATCTTTATATAAGGTAGCCTATATTTATCTATATTTATTTAAATTTCTTGATTTAAGAAAAATATATATTATATATATATATATATATTTTAGTTGAGTAATATTTTTTATGTACAGAATCTTGTTATCATTAATTTACAATACAATTTATATGTCCCTTTGTGAGCACTTTGTTTGTCTGTGCAACCTGTCACAGAACTTGTCCCTAGCATATTGGACCGCATAATCATTAGAAGATATGCTCTAAGGCAAAGACTAATTTCTTAAGCGAATTAAGAAAGATATTTAAATTAAAGAAAAGTGATATAGCTCATTATTAAGGAGACACCTCGTTTTCCATTGAAATCATTCAGTTTTAATAGTAAGATAATTAATGTACTTTTGCTCGTGTAATGTAATGTTTTAGAGAATGTGTTTGTGATGGCCCTCCAATGTCAGTTTCATAGTCATTTTTAACTGAAGGGCGCCTCATGCCTGATGATGTTTAACACACATTTATTTTGGTAACTCACCATCTGGTCGGCAGGTTTCACTGCTGTAATGAGTTCCTTGATAATATTATTCGCTTCCTCTGGGTTTATTACCACTGTGTCTTTTAGTAGTTCGTTGTGTTCGAAGTACATAACAATTCCAAGATCGTGTAAGTAGTTGATAGTATGGATGATATTCTCTTTTGAAATCCCGCACTTATTGGCAACAGTACGCACCTTCGGTAATTATACATAGAATATTTAATTTGTCATGCTAACAACAAAAATACATGAATTATTCATAACATTTGATATACTCTAGACTAATTAATAAGTCACTATAAAATCAGATTACGAAGAAAACTGAGCAAGTATTCAGAACTACAACATTTGTCATCTTTTTACAATCATGTTATTAAATGATAATGAATTTGTACCTCATGATATTGTACGTGCACTTTTTCCCCAATCTTCCGTAATTCACGTTGAAATTTATGCCATGTAAGCGGAATCGTTTTTGGCATCGATTTTAGAAATCTACAAATATCTTGTCTCAGCTTTAGCATCTCACTTCCCGATGGAGACTCGTTGTTTATGAAGTACATATCTCTTACCACGTAACATTCATACGGAGTGCCTTTGATTTCTTGGAATAATATTTTAAACTGTTTTTCAACCTAAATACAGAAAACAAGCATTTAATTAGAAAATGTTGGAAGTTTAATTTTACTGGATGTTGAGAATGACATTAGAATACAAACCTGCAGCTTCTTTTCTTCATCGTTTCCTTGTAGGTCTTCACTGTTGGTACCGACTACCACAATTTTAGGTTTCTCTGATTTGAGACAGTGTTCCTCAACTGTAACGGCGTACGTAAATATCAACTCCATCCGATATTTGATAAATTGTAAATTTGTCATATCATTTGTCATCGGTACTGCCTGAGGGATGAAAAATTGAAAGTAAATTAGATGCCTAAATGACACACATCACAGGAATAGTTAAACAAAACAAATAGACTAAATTATACGTAAAAGTAACAATTAAAATTTTACCATTCTGGAGACTCTACATTTCCTTTTAGCGTGCATTCCTTCTACCAAATTGAACCCAATTATAAATACCGCCTCGCTGTTTAGAGGATTCTAAATAAGGTTTTTGAAAATTGTAAAAGGTTAGCAGATAATAATGTTTTTATAATAATAATAATAATAATAATGATAATAATAATAATAATAATAATAATAATAATAATAATAATAATAATAATAATAAATAAATGGATCTAAATCTACTTTTATATTTCTCATGGTCCAATAAAGAAAAGATTAGATTTTGGTGACGATCCGGTGTAGGGAATGAAAATAAGACCATTTAAATTGAGACGTCTCATACCAGATATCCCCAAAACTGATTGAATGATCTGAATGAAACACTCTGAAAAATGCAACCATTTTACAAGAAATAAAATTTTAAATTTTAGTGACGATCCAGATTCGGGTCATTTAGAGTGCTATTAACTCCTAGACCTAAATATCTCTAAAAACTTATCAATGGATCTAAATAAAACTTTCTAGAGTAGATCATGGTACAATGGAGAAATTATTAAACTTCGGTGAAGACCCAAAGTATAATTAGGATAAATATTACATAAGGTAAACATTCTTAAACTACAACTATGTCTGCGTAATGGTAAGAATTCTAAACATCACCTTTATGCCACTGCAGACATAGTTCGAATTTCATTGATTGATTTTTTTTTGTGTGCGTGTGTGTTTTTTACTTTATACTTGGGGTCAGGTTGTTAACCTGATGGTGGTGACCCTGCTATGACTGTTGCTGTCAACTAATAACAGCAACTAGAATCCATTATTCGCTAAAGGATGCTACATTAACACCTGTGTAGCTCTTGTGAGTTTGGATTCACACAAACGAATGAACGAACGAACCTTATACTTTACAATTTTTTATTTTTTTACTTATTTATTTATTTTTGTAATTTCAACATCTTAATAATATCACTGTTCTGTTTTACAAAAGGACACTTTATTTACTCTAGCTTTTGTCCACACAGTGGACTTCATCAGTCATTGTACAGTCTCATAATGAAGTCCACTATGAAAAAAATGTAAATAAGTTAGTCCTGAAATTTGTTATTTCTTACAATAAATTTGTACTACTAAGACAATCTTAGCCTTTTGCTGCTCTCTGTGCTTTATTATCATTTTACCTAAATAACACATTACAATAAAGCATTTATTTTTAAGGTGTTTTATAACTGTATAGGCATTTTATGCATTTTTTTTAATGAGATCATTATTGCTTCAAGTGATATCCTTACTGTATAGTACTTCAGTAGTTTCATATTTGATGCTAAACTTAAACAAATATAATAGGAAAATAGAAAACTGATTGTGAATACTTACTTGATGAGTATAGTTGAGCTGCTGATCATGAATGTTCAAAATGTATGTGTTGTTTTCATTAATCACCCCTGAGATAAAGATAACAAAACAAATTCTTTCATTTGCGAACATCTGAGGTAGGGCAGAGTTAAAGGTGGGCAGTTTACATGTCCGATAACAAAATCTGAAATCAACTCAAGGCTAGGCCCTGCCTAGGACTTCTCTAGCATGTGCTATGTTAAAGTTTGTTAACGGATTTTTCCGCCTATTGATAGACTAAGGACCTATTTGCAAAATCGAGTGTAAAACACAAACACACACACACACACACACACCCAATCAATGGAACTGTTAAATTACCATCCACCCACACAATCACACACTAATCAAATCTGTCCTTTACTTTTTTTCGAAGTTTGTTCAACAAGGATGTTGTTCATCAAGAATTTTTAAAAGGCACTTAATAGGAGTATGTAGTGTGGCAACTCCCGACAGATGTTATCGCTAAGACATAGTAGTGTAGTTAAAGTGAAATGTGAAATGAAGTACATGTAGAAAATCATTCATATCTACACACTGCTGTAACTGGCCAGATGTGATGAGTATGCTACTTATGTTTCAAATCTTAATTCTTAATACTACCCCCTGGTTCTACCAGAAATCTATTACCGTAACTTTTATACGTTAACTGAATAGACAGTGGTAGACAGAAACGTCATAACGAGTGTGCACTTTTGAGTACTACCAAAATAATTATGCAAAGGAGGCTTGTTCGTTTATGATTGGTAAACACAGAATGTACAGAAACAAAAATCCGAGTGCACTATTCTTTTGTGTAAACTGATTATCTCTCAAATATTGCATGAAAAAATGTAAACAGAAACCAGTACAAAGACTAGTGGGATATCGTCTTTATTATTATTATTATTATTATTAGTAGTAGTATTAGTATTAGTATTATTATTATTGTTATTGTTATTGTTATTGTTATTGTTATTATTATTATTATTACTATTATTATTATTATTATTATTAAATTTTTCTTTATTATGAATATCATTATTATTATTATTTTTTTTTTCTATTATTATCTTTATTATTATTGTTATTGTTACTATTATTCTTATTGTTATGTTTCGTTTCTTCTTCTGGAAGCTAAACTTGATGTCTCTTTTGTTTAACACACCGAAGATATATCAAACCTACTTATACAATCGTTTTTATTCATTTAACTTTATCGTAAGTTACAAAAAGCACGTTTTCATTGGGGTAAATATTTCAAGTCGGCGATTTAGCCTGACCCTAGGCTGACTAAAAAAATCGGCCTGCGGAGGTATCATTTAGTCGAGGTTCACGTCATTTAGTCGTAGTGCTAGTCGAAGTTCGTTTTAAGAATACGAAATGACGTAATTTTTAAGTTTTAGCTCGAACTACGACTAAAGTTTGTTTTAAGAATACCGGGGTTAGAGTTTGTAATATACTTTCTTATCTGACAACATTACAATAGAATAATTAATAAAAGAGGCCCAAGGTTCAAATCCCGATGAGGCCCAACTTGGTTTGTTTAACTTATTTCGTATTACATCATCATTAAGTGGATGGAGATATGCTTCAATTCCCACTGGACCTCTTCCGAACAGTATGACGGAGGTCTCGGGTTCAATTGCCAAAGAACCCCAATTTGATTTTATCGGATGCAAATATCAAAAAGGTCCAATAATTATTTTCATCTGATTTCGTATTATATCATCGTTACGTTCATGGGGTATGACTCATGAGCATCATGGTATGTTGGAGATCTCGGGTTCAACTCCATCCGTTAAAAAACTTCAGAAGAGTATATCAGGAGGTCTCAGGGTCAAATCCAAATGGGGTCCAATCAGCGGAGGCACCAGACATTTGCCGACGAGTGGTCCGACGTGTCCGACTGAGGGGTACAAATCAAAAGGCCAACGAAGCCTATGTGGACGACCTGGAATAAAAACTCGTTTGATAAGGTTCATTTTGGAGAGTTTTTATGGCTTTTTTTGTATGGTCCAAAATGTGCTTTTAGTCCACAATATTAGGGATTGGCAATCAAAAAACGTTATTTGGATAAGGAAATTATATATTTAAAAAAATGTTCGATCCGAAGATATAGTCGTTCTTTGGACGACAGGGGTCCACACTCCTCCCCCGCCCCCACCGCTGGGTTCAATGTGATTTTCTTCTTATTTCGTATTATATCACCGTTACATTCATTCTATTGGACCCCATAATTCAACCGGCCAGACCAGTCAGCATGGTATGTCAGAAGTCCCGATTTCAAATCCAAGTTTGACCAATTTTAATGCTTCTCTTTCTATTATATAATCGTTAGGTCGAAGGTAAGTATGGTTCTAATTCCACTAGACCTCATCCTTAGCGATTTCAAAAGTATTGGAGCCATATCCCATCAACCTAACAGTCTTTAGTGCAAAAAAGTGAATATTTATATAAAGCAAGAGGACAAGATTAATGTCACAGCAATCAAAAAAATGTTCATTGTCATACCATCAATGTCTTCCGTTTCCTCCAGACGAGTGTCTTCAATAGCAAAATCAGTTCTATGCACTTCCTTAGTTAACCTGTATGATATAACAATTTACAAATGTATTATACAGTTGAAACACGGTCAGTTAAAAGTCTTTGGTTCAGACTTACATACCTGTACTAACATGATTAACCAACATCTGAAGTATTTCTGGACAAATATAATATAATTAGGTAAGTATATTTTCCTTTCCAGACATGACAGTAGGCGTTTGCATTCATAAGCACGTAAAGCTAATTACGTTAGTTACGCTCATTACGATAATTATAGTAAAACCGGAAGCAAAACAAGGAAAGCAACTTTACAATATAAAAACTGAACACTTATCCACAGTGGACAAGTTTCTGGCATATTAATACATTTCCGTTTTTCAGGTAGAGCACTTTTTTACGCCCTCCTTACTAGTCACCACTATACTGCCCCACCATGCGCGTATAACATAACATACACACCATTTAAAAAAAAAATATCGTTAAAGATTACAGAAACTCACTCTTCTCTTATACGATCCCAAAGTGCAATGACATCAAAATCATCAACAACTATTACTAAGTGAGCGTGGTTTACTGTGATTCCTCCCTTTTCTAACTCTTTGTTAAATGCACTCATAGCAGGTTTTCCTCTGGTTAATACTTCTCCAGGAACAGTGACCTCTAATTCAGAAAAAAACTCAAACATTTATTTTTAATTCAAATATATTTGTTATTATTAATATTAAATTATTATTATTGTTATTGTTTTGTTATTGTTATCTCCATTGATATTATTTATCATTGTTATTCTTGTCGTTTTCGTAATTATTGTCGTTATTAAAATCGGTATTATTGCTATTAATATTATGATTAATATTATTGTATTATTATTATTATTAATTATTAATTATTATTACTATTATTATTATTACTATTTTGTTATTAGTATTATTTGTTATTATTTATTATATTAGTAAACATGTTTCAAATCTGAAATACACAACAATATTTACAACAACAGTATATATTGTGAAATATTTAAAACAAACAATAAATAATTATTGAATCATTAACTTGTTTCTTGCACCACTATGCAATATTAGGCCTATTATATTATATTATAGTGTTACTTATTTATTTTTGTCACTAATATTCTACCTTCGCTGACAAACAAAGATGACCCTTAGTTAAATGAAGAATAACCCAAAACTGGCAACGTCATTTTGCTGAATTGCGTGTAGGCGTGGTCCGTGACTGTGTAGTCGTAAAGAGGCGCGTATAGTACATGTTTAAATCATTCTTAATTAACAGGGACTGAGATGAACCATAGCATCGGGGAATACTCTTTCGAGAGGTGCACTGAGTGGGCTCTAGAGTGCATACAAGCCAAATTTGTACACTATATCTCAATTTACGTCCTTATCCCAGAAGACTTGTTTTATCAACTTAACCATAAGAGAGAAGCAACGCGAACCAGCGCCGATATTGAAGGCTGCAGCTAGCGGCTCCCCTGCCTTACCCTCAGCGACATGTCTCGCCAATTAAATTCGACTCGCTAATTACATTCTCTAATGTTTAATAACGTAACTGATTCTAGGTTCTGTTTTATAATAAAACAAAATAAATCCAATCCGAATCTAGTTCGTTCAACCGCTTATTTACAAAAATAGCAAACTAGAAGCTGATTGCTTACTGTGCAAGATCTGCAAGATCTCTTCTTTCTGTTTCTCTCTCTTTGTGTTGCCATAATCCTTATTCCCATACTCCTCACACATATTGTGCACAAACATGTCAAGAGGTGTTTTCCCGTTCTGTAACATCATTCATATCATAAACATTATTGTGTTAAGCAAATGATAAGCACCCTATTATTAGCGACCACATTGTTGAGGGACATAAAACAAAATAGCAAAAAATAAAATAGAATTTACTATTTCATGTACCATTAGTAGTAGCAGTAGACCTAAAAAATTATGCCTATTGACGAGTAGGTGCAACCAGCGGCAGAAGAACAAGTTGATTTCTAAACCAAAATGTTTCTGTATTGTTACCGTAACGTTTAGAAATTGCATGATAACACCTCAAAAACTGGTAGCAATTTTTTATAGCTCTTTATAATAACCACTTATTTTGTGTGTTTTTATAAAAAGTAGTACTTAAAACTTAATTATGTGGAGGCTACATGTACGATATGATCTGACAGCGAGCAAATGGATGTGGGCACTCTGGATATAAGCATTATATTTTGTACATACTTCTCATAGTCATTAAAATTCAATTTTGATAGGATTTAGTTCACTCCAAGTCATTATGCCACATTGAATTTCAAAATGGCAGACATGCCAAACCTAATGTCAATATCTCAGCATCTAAAACACTGAATGATTATAATTCTGTTGCTTAATATTTTGTTTACCATTTAAAGAAATACTTAATACCATTTAGGATATTTTCATATAATTACAGGTATTCCATTACAGGTCATTCAAGGTCATTTTATGTAAAAATAATGTATAATATCATAATAACAATAAAATCTTAAAACCCAAGCTCATAGCTTCAATAGTCCCAGAGCCAAGGTCGGTTTACTTTCTGAAAATGCCCACATGTTTAGGTATTACAGTAGAACCCCCTCCTTTGGGACACCCCTATTATAGAGAAATATATATTGATAAAAAAGTCGTGGTCTACATTATTATGGGAAAAAGTAAATTTTTGTCCGTCTTTAGATTTTAGTGCTGTAGTCTGTGCTTTAAAATAATGTTGGAATGGTTCTTATAGAATATATTCAGGGGTGAATCTAGAGAAAAATCTGGGTAAGGGCTATGCGACTGCGAAACATCGAGCCAGTTAGGGTGAGATTTTTGTTTAGAAGTACCTAATTAAATCCAGTCAATTTGCGAGCGAAAAATACTTATACATTTGCTCGCTCTCTGGCCACATGACTCGTTGTTACGCCACTTTTCCTAAGTGTGCCGAATGGTCAAATAACCCCTATTTGGGGACACTTAATTTGTTTTCATTATGACCATGACGGGAAAACAAAAAAGGTAGAATGAAACAATTTAATATATGTTTAAAGCATACCGACATTTTAAGGTAAATAAATATATTATCTTATTATATTATGTTGTATAGTTAAATTGCCGTGACGATGTGCCATAAGCATATTTATATTATTTTATCTTTACACAATTTATGATCGTGAGTTGATTTATTTAATATTATCCGTAAATATGTATTAATAAATTAAATTAAATTTAACGAAAAAACGGATGAGGCATAGGAAGGAAGAAGAATAGGAAAGAAATTTGAAGCAGCTGAAATATTTACCGAAAATAAACAATAATAATCATTTTGTCATTAATATTGCATTTCATTAATTTTGTAAACATTTGTTGACACTAATCGTCAGAGGTCAAGGTGCCAGCAGCCTACATGTTCATATATTCGACATTGAACACTTGCATCGCTAGTGCATTTCCAGCACGATTAAAAATCGTAACGCTTGGGCTTGGTCTACAGGAGTTCGTGCTTCGAGCAGGTAATTCCATTCATTGAAAAAGCTTTTTGATGGAGAAAGTGTACTTTTTTAGCAAGGTTTGCTAAGGTCGAAACTAACTCCGGCTTTATAAAATTGATTAATTGAAAAAGTTATTCTTGTTAATGAATAGATAAGGATTACTCCTATGTCCATTTTTATTGATCTATTCTACGTAAATTTACTTTCAGAGTGATAGAATATATGCTTTGCATCACATAACATAAAGATATAGACAGGAACTGGTGCGCTTAAATTGTGTATTTAGAGGTATTGGCTCATATTCATTCTACTACATATCATGTTACTATACCTGGTCCTTCAGCTTGCTATCTGCTCCAGCGTCTAAGAGGACTTGCAAGCCTTGTAGGTGAATGCGAAATGAGTGGTTAGCGTTTAACAATACATGTAGTGGTGTCAAGCCGTTCTGAAACAGAGTAAAAAAAATTGTATAGTTATCAAAAGTTCATACAATTGTATTATTTGAGGTTAAATGAAAATCACCTTATATTGATATTATAAGACAGCATTAAGTCTTGCCATTGTCCTTTCTTTCAAAAATAAGCCGTAAAAAAACTGTAGTATGCCTTCTGTCACCTAAAAGTGTACATGAGTATGATGTCCTTTGTCTACTAGGCCTTCGCTTTCCATGTGGATCAGTGTACAGTGCATAATGTTAGACTTTGTTCTTTTTCTAACATCCTTAGGATAAGGGTACCGTAAATGCTCGAATAAGCGTTTATAGAACTTTTGGAGGCTTCAGCGGCGCTTATTTAAAAGCAACGCTTATAAAAAAGAAAATGTTGGCGTGGAGCTTCCATAGCCAATTCCCATGTTACCTATCTCACGCCTTCCCGTAGTTCAGTAGGCCTATAATAGGTCCTACGTCATTGTAAAAATGTTTATAAAATGCTTGTGCCTTCATTGTGTTACCGTATTTATTCATTTTAACACTGTATACATTGTATCTAAAACCCTATTTCTTAAAGTGTTTCATATACACAGGTTTGGTGCTGCGTTTATTCGAAGGTGGTGCTTATTTCGACAATTTACGTTAATTCACTACCTGAGCCAGCGGAATGTTTTTCAAAGTGTTGGATAGGGGGCATAAACTTTTAAGATAAATGTGAATACGAATCAAGGGGAGGGGGATCAAAATGTTTCCCAAAAAACCCAAAAATCAAATTTTGATTCCTAGTTTGGCGTGAAAGGAGCTTTCCCGACTTTCGAGCTAGGTGTATATTAATGACTTTTAAGTTCTTCAAAATTCAAGGTTTTCCGCCATGAAAACCGTCAAGTAAACTTTCTCATTTTTATTACAGTAAATAACCTGTTATATGTGTATACTTACATAAAAAAAATTGAGTAGCATATGTATTCTTTTTTACCATAATTCAATAAACCCTCGAAGAGAAAGGGGTCAGGGGTTTCTCCTCCGGGAAAATTCTGATTTCTAAATGGCGGGAAATGAGCTTTCCAGACTTCTGAAGTATCTTTTAATGACTTTAAAGTTCTTCGAAATTTTATGTTTTCCCGTCTTGAAAATGGTCAGGTAAATTTTTCTCATTCTTACTCATTATCTTGTTATTGTATTCCTTTTCTCGACTGATATATATAGCGCAAATATTGTAGGTTAAATATCTTAAAAATTATGTGATAAATGGCAAATAATGAGTTTATAAATCTACCTTTTCACGGGGTAGACTATTCTAATGAATTATTTAATGTTTCAATGAAATCTCCTGAAATGTATAATCCTGTTTTTAACCCATTATTAGATGATGACGTCAAATTTGATGAACAATCTGAAATGCTAGTTAATCACCTTAACTTTAGATCATCCACACTTGATTTGTGCAAATACTTTGATATTAATCAATTTAACCAACTTATAAAGAATAAAAGCACTAATCAAGTATCAATTTTTCACCTCAATGTTAGGAGTGTGTCAAATAAACATGACAGATTGGAAGAGCTTTTTAATTACATCAACCTCAAATTTTCTATCATTGGTCTCTCTGAGACATGGTTAAACGACCAAAAAAATAATCCATTTTTAGAAGGATATAATTGTTTATCTTGTAATCGTATTGGTCGAACAGGAGGAAGGGTTGGATTATTCGTTAAAAATGAAATTAATTTCAAGTTAAGACATGATTTAATTTTGCCAAAAGAAATATGTGATTCCCTGTTTATTGAAATTCTTAACAAAAGGAAAAAGAATAATATCATTGGCATTATCTATAAACCGCCGGATTCAAATATTGACAATTTTACTGCCATAATAAATGAACTGCTTTTAAAATTAAATTATGAAAATAAATTTTGTAATATTATGGGAGACTTCAATATAGATTTAATCAAGTTTCATAATCAAAATTTTATAAATAATTATTTAAATGGTATCTTATCAAACTCTTTCTTCCCTACGATATCTAAACCGACGAGAATTACACAAAATAATGCAACTCTTATTGATCATTTTTACACTAACCATATTAATTCTGAAATTGTATCAGGTGTTATCATTTCTGATATTTCTGATCATTTACCTATTTTTCAAATAATTGATTATGATTTATATATAAATAATGATACTTTTAATTACTCGTATTCTATTAAGGATATAGGAGCATTTAGCCAAGATCTCTCTCAATCAGATTGATCTAACCTTTATCATTCTAATTCATCTTTTGATTCAATTATAGACATATTTTCTACAAACAAAAACATCTATTTACTAAAGAAAAGACCCTAAAGAAAACAAAATGTAAACACCCATGGATGACACCCTCTCTTCTAAAATGTAGTAAACGTAAACATAAGCTTTATAAAATATTTATTAATTCCCAAAACAATTAAGATAATGTAAATTACAAAAAATATAACAACATCTTTACTGCTCTTTGTCGAATATCAAAAAAGAAGTACTATGAAACAAGATTTAGTCAAGTTAAATCAAATATTAAGAAGGTATGGGAAGTAATTAATTCTGTAATAAACCCTGATAAAAAAAATAAAAAGATACCTAATGTTGTAAAAATTGAACAAGAGTATACTTACGATATAAATGCTATTTGCCGTTACTTTAATGACTTCTTTTCAGAAATCGGCAAAACTGCATGTAATTCAATACCTAATAATAACATTGATCCACTTTCATATTTACCACCTCCCACCCAAAATTCCTTTTTTTATTAATCCGGTTTCTGAAACGGAAGTATTAAATATAATCAACGATTTCGATTCTAATAAAGGGTCGGGGCATGACTCTCTCACACCCTTTGTTCTTAAAAAAATTGCTTCTGCAATTTTAAGCCACCTTACACACGCAATTAATTTATCTTTTACAACAGGTTCTGTACCTGACCATTTAAAAATAGCTAAAGTTATTCCTGCATTTAAAAAAGGTGACTCGCACTTACTAAATAACTACATACCAATCTCCATTCTACCCATATTTTCAAAAATAATTGAGAAATTAATGCATACTCGTCTTTATAATTATTTTATTGAAAATCATTTACTTAATAACCATCAATACGGGTTTCGCAAACATCATACCACCACACATGCCGTTTTAGAACTCATGAATTCTGTTAATAATGCGTTTGAAAATAATGAATTTTTATTGAGTACATTCCTTGATTTGTCAAAAGCTTTTGATCTCGTCAACCATGATATTCTAATTTCTAAACCTTTTCGTTATGGCATTAGAGGGGTCTCATTAGACTGGTTTACAAGTTATCTTAATAATAGAAAGCAATATGTTCAAATTGGTAACTGTAAGTCGACATCAAGAAGTATTTTGTGTGGTGTACCACAGGGGTCCGTCTTAGGACCCTTATTATTTCTTATTTACGTTAATGACTTATCATTGGCTAGTGATATTTTACACACTGTTTCCTTTGCCGATGATACTACCATATTTTATTAATAACTTTGATTTATTGTTTAACACATTTAATTCTGAATTAAGCAAGATTAGCAATTGGTTCATTACAAATAAATTATTAATTAACACAACTAAAACAAATTTTTATTTTAGTTAATTTCATTATAAACACAAAATATGTGATGTTTTTCTAAATGGCAAACGGCTTGATAGAAAAAGTGAAGTATCGTTTCTTGGTGTTTTAGTTCATGAAAACGTAAATTGGTCTAGCCATCAACAAAGTGTAGCAAATAAAATCTCAAAATACATTGGTATAATAAGCAAACTGAAACATTTTTTTCCTCTAAGTATTTTAGTTTCTTTATACAATTCGTTTATTTTGCCCCATTTATTATATTGCAACATCATTTGGGCCGCAGACTATCCCTCAAATTTACAAAGAATTATTATATTACAAAAATGGGTTGTTCGGTTAATTACATCTTCACCATTTAAAACTGCATCTGAACCTCTATTTTAAAAACTCAACATCTTAAATATTAGTGACCTTCATAAATTTCAGATTGCTTATTTTATGTTTCAATATGTGAATAATTTAGTACCTGTATCAATCGCATTGCTTTTCTCTAACCGTGTAATATCTCATTCTTACAGTATTAGAAATCCAAATATATTACAAGTGCCTTTTGTTAAACTTACTATGAGTCAATTTTTATTACATTTTCAGGTCCCACCATATGGAATAGCCTAGATAAAGATATTATTATAAATTGTAAATCCCCGAAAGCATTCAAAGGTCACATGAAAACAATATATTTATCTAAGTACAGGTCTTCTGACTGACTGATTGATAGAAAAAGTGAAGTATCATTTCTTGGTGTTTTAGTTCATGAAAACTTAAATTGGTCTAGCCATCAACAAAGTGTAGCAAATAAAATCTCAAAATACATTGGTATAATAAGCAAACTGAAACATTGAGATTGCTTATTTTGAAATCAATTCCATGAATCGATGACCCACACAAATAGAAAAAAAAATCTAGGTTCTCCTTAGGGAAAATGCTGATTCCTAGATGGCGGAAAATGAGCTTTACTGATTTCTGAGGTGTCTTCAAAAGTTCTTCAAAATTTTAAGGTTCCCCTGCTTGAAAACGATTCTATGAATCAATGAATCCCAAAGAGAAAGGGGGGGGGGTCGTGTTCTCATCGGAAAAATGTTGATTTCTAAATATCGGGAAATGAGCTTTCATGATTTCTGAAGTGTCTTATAATGACTTTTAAGTTCTTCAAAATTCAAAGATTTTCCTTCTGGTTCTTTTTATATATGAATCGATAAATCACAGAAAGAAAGGAGGATCCAGGGTTTCCTATCCGGGAAAATGTTGATTCCTAGATGGCCGGAAATGAGCTTTCCCGACTTCTGAAATGTCTTTTAATGACTTAAATTCCTTAAAATTCAAGGTTTTCCCCCTTGAGGACGGTCAGGTATTTTTTTCTTATTCTTATTACAGTAAAGTATTAGGCCTATTATGTGTGTAACTGTATACATACATTGCATACGTACCGTATTCCTTTTTTCCTAGACTTGCCACACCAAGTCTCTTATTTTTTTATTACTTTTCTAATTCTGGACAGCGCCACCAACGAAAAGTTATTTAGATACGGAATCCAAAAAAAGAAATCGAGTATGGGACGCCAATTAAATTAGGTATGGCGCGCACTAAGTGCAATAAAGAGTGAGTAACCCAAAATTAGGGCATGGAACCTAGGCTACTTTTTTCCATGAATCGATGAACATCAAAAAGAAAAGGGGGTCGGGGACCTCCCCCGAGAAAATTTGATTCCTAGATGGCGGGAAATAAGCTTTCCCGATTTCTAATTATTTTATCAAAAAGGAATATCATCAGGTATATATAAAAATTTTATAATTAAATGCACTTAACTCCTCCATTTTATTTTGCTAGCCACTGAAGCCTAGCATAGATTATTGGTGCTATTGAAGGCATATGTACATTGTACTTGCGTCTTCTTAGTCGTTTTCTATTTCCTCCGCTCCGTCCAGATCGTTTAACCACCAAGATATTATATATTTTCTGCCAAACCCACTCCCCCGTTTCAACTTGCATGACTACCAACACTACTACTATTACCACTGCCATGATCGTTTGATTTGACATGTAAATACACAAAAAGATGGAACATATTCACATGGGCTTATAGCCGTCTGACATTCCCGGGATCCCAAGATGCTCCTCTCCCCAGACCTCAGGCTATCTTGAAGTGTATGTTTGCGCTCTATGGGAAAGTGTGAAAGTGTTAGCGAAATTACTATTATTATTTCTGCGATTATTAGTAACAGATTCACAATACACAATAAATAGTAAAATCTTTTACTTTTTATCGCCAAATTTGTAATATGATTTGATGATTGCTAATTCTGATTTTAATAACAAAATAATAGGAAATGTTAACCGCACAAATACCGTAAAAGCTCGAATTGAAGCCCAGTGGGCTTAATCTCGAGATGAAGCCAATCTCGATTTGAAGCCCCCTCTTTAGTTTGCAAAAATTAGCCTGGAAAAGAAGCCCATCTTTCAAGATAGCGTAGACTTCTTTTTGAGATAGTACAGTACATACACTGTGCATAAATTTCAGAAAACAAAATAAATTAAAAACAAGCTTGGTTACATTAGATTAGGTGATTTAATGCCTGAGTTAAATACACTCCATAATACAGATTGATGTTACGTTACATTGACCTTATTTATTGTTTAATTGTACAAACTCAAAAAAATTACAGCATTCATTTTGAAAAAAAAAGAGCCCCTCTTAACTTTGCTGAAGTAGTCTCGAACAGAAGCCCATCCAAAGCTTGCAAGAAAAAGAAGTCCAGGGCTTCAATTCGAAATTTTACGGTATTATAAATTTCGCTACATAAATGTAGCATAACAATTTTGATATACATGTATATAGGATCTGTGCTTATACTATACCTCTGTTCGCCAATTAACACGCTGCTGTGATTTTTCCAATGCACGACGAAGTGCGTTTACGTACCCATAGGCAGCCAAGTAATGTAGAATACTCCAACCAGCCTACATAGTATAAAAAATGAGAAAATTCTATATAAAGCAGAACATACGACAAAATACGAGGAATGTTTTTTGTGCTCTTCCAGTTTCTCGATATAAACTTTGTCACAGTCCATCCACCCTATTTCACACACTATTTCACATGCAATTGTCTTTCCCATCAACCATACGGTACTATTTATTGTTCTTCGTATTGCCTTTTTTTTTAATTGCTGAATTGTTTGCGTTGCCTGTGGGCGGTAGGGGCCGGCTATGGGTAATCTGGTAAGGCCCATTAGTATTAGGCTAATGGCCTTATACTCAAGGAATTGAGCGGCCTTGCCCAAGATGAGCTCCAGTTCCCTCCGGCCCGTGAGGGAGTACCTGCAAGGGCCCCGCCTTGCAGGTATTTATTTTATTTATTTTTTATTTTATTTATTCTTTTATTCAACTTTATATACTTCCCCATACTTCCGGATGAGACTCCCATCTGCGGATGAAGCTCGCTCCGAAGCCTTCATTTTGAAGTTGGCGATAAATTCATAAAAAGAAGACGAAGAAGAAGAGGAATTTTTGTCTTTTGGTCGTAAAATCTTATTTGTAGGGATGTCGTTTAGTGGAAGATTCTGCTTTTTTTAAATTTTTCTCTACCCATTTCCTGTTGTACAGTACCTTTTTATTGGCCCATGTTGAATAATTTCATGTTTTTAAAGCAAGATTATTGTATTTGCTTCCGATTCATTATCTTTATTCGTCGTAATTATGTTATGGCATCGGTGGAATAATGCACAGACAACTCTCATTATGTTGTAGAGAGTGATGGGAGTTGAAAAATAGGTACTGATTTGTGTTTGTGAGTTTTCTGTGCCTTGAGGTTTAGGTGTCTATTATATCGGGGAAACTGAAAGCGCATTGGAAACAAAGGTAAATGTAAACGTAAAGGTAGGAGAATAACCCATAACTTGTAGCGTCATTGTGCTGAATTGCGTATGGGTGTGATCCGTGACTACCTAGCAGCCGTAAAGAGGCGCTTCTTGGTAGATACATGTTCACATCATTCCACAACGACAGGGGCTGAAATGAACCATAACATCGGGGTAACCCCCTACTCTTCCGAAAGATGCAATGGGTTCTTTAAAGTGCACACGAGCCAGATGTATACACTGGACCTCCATTTTAAGTCCTTATCCGAGAAGACTTAGATCTACCAACCGAACCATGGGCGAGGAGCGGCTGGAACCAGCGCCGATGTAGCTAGCGGCGCCCCTGCTTACCGCTCGGCCACTCGACTCTCCACCACTGAGGCGTAGTAATAACTAATGCACATAAGGATGAAAGATTATAAAGATGATGTGAAGACAATACTATTGTAATTCAAACAAAGGCCAGCAGGAAAGCATCGTCTAATGAATTATATAATTAAGCTATAACGGATCACATGTTAAAAGAAAATCATATACAAGACTGGAAGAACATAAATATTTCACACAATAAAAGAGCATGGCTAAAACGGAAAATGAAGGAATCCATCAGCATCAGAAAAAAAAAAGAAAAACATGAAGAGGGACGAAGAATCACATCAGTTATCACACATACGATGAATTTCTGAAAACAACTGGTGCGTGTTGTCGTACCCCAGCTGGAATAGCCGGAACACTATCTGACGAAGCCCAACAGTTGGGCGAAACTGTCATTAACAAATAACTGTCAGTGAGTACATTTTGTTTACTTAAGGAAATTGTCTCTATGGAATATATATTGGAAACCAGATGAAACTACTGTATTTAGCCAATTTATGTGCATTAGTTATTACTACGCCTCAGTGGTGGCGCCAGCGTCTGAGGTCTTGGGCAAGTGAGGGGTAAGGTACAGTTTTTTGGGGGGAAGTTCCCCGACAAGAGCAAAGTGGGAGTGGTCGAGTGTCGATTAAAATGTTTCGAAGGTGGTACAGGAGGCGGAGCCCCCGAGAAATGTAACAAATAAGGGGTTTCGGAGGCTTATTTAATCAATTTTACATATAGATAGTCTACTAATATACAGTAAAAAAGTAAAGGTATACATTAATGAACGAGGGAAATGAGCTGTTAGCCTATCGTTCTAAGCCTTGGTATTCCACGCTTTTTCCCAGTATTGAACCACCGGGACATTTATAATCCTGGGTGGAGAGACACAAACATAGGTAAAGTGCAGTGGCGACTGTAGAATGTATTTTCTGGGAAGAGGGGATGAGCTGTCCGACAGGGGGACTTCAGCTCGTAGGCCCAAGCTGGGGAAGGGTTTTAGAGGAACCTCTGGATGGCTAGAAATGACATTCTCAGACTATGACAGGCATGTGTTTTGGGTTGGCGTGGGCATTTTTATATTTTGTTTTAGTCCGACTGTCCGACAAACTCTGTGTCCGATGGGGGGATTTGACCTGTACGGAGGGGGGCTTAAACCCCTGCTGTTCCCCCGCTGATGACGCCACTGGAAAAGCGCCTTGTCCAAGAACACAAACGAAATGACAGAAAAAGATCTTGCAAGTTTGGGGGAAACACTCCACGGGAAAAACAATCATACCACCCTACGAGCAGCAGCCGAGATACAAGCAGCCAGGCCGATGCGGACTAATTTCATTCAAGGGGGACCGGTTTTAGCCGCGAAAGTCGACCCCGTGGACCTTAGCGGTCAGAAAAGTTCATATGCGGACCGATTTTAGCACGGTCCAATTTTGTCGTGACAGGCTTATACCGATGTTCACTCTAAGGATTAAGTGAGAAAAATTAAGGTTTGATGTTAAGTCTATTGCTCAGTGGTGGCGCCAGAAGGGGAGGGGGGGCTAGGGCTATAGCCCCCCCCCCCGTCGGGGAAGCATCTCCCCCCGTCGGAGAAGACGAGTAAATTTTGTCGGGGAATAAACAAATAAAATAAAATATTTATGTAATGCTCGTTTATCCACCACTTTGTTTTTATTAAACTGTTTGTGTTATTATTATTATTATTATTATTATTAATATTAATAATAATAATAATAATAATAATATTATTATTATTATTAATAATAATAATAATAATAATACAGTAGTTCAATGAGACTAATTAAAAATAATTTGCGTTCTTTTATGACAAATGTTCGTTTGGATAGCCCTATGATGCTTGAAATACATCGTGATTGGTGAATCAACCTCGACAGCGTGGTTGACATATTTCATGGAAAATTTCCAAAATGTAGAATTTCACTTTCAAGAAGGAGGATAGAAAATAAATTAGATGGTTACATTGCATACGCTTTGTTTCTTGTTTTATTCAAATTTTGGGGGTTTTGAGAGCTGATTGCGACATTAAAAAACATAGCCTACATGAAGTCATATAGTAACTCGATGCCTATAAAAATAATAAAAATTCGTCAAATAGCCGTGGCTTCCAGGGGGCCAAGCCCCCTGGACCCCCGCCGGGGCCCTTTGAGTTAGCGTGGGCATTTTTATATTTTTTTTAGTCCGACAAACTCTGTGTCCGATAGGGGGATTGACCTGTACGGAGGGGGGGGGGCGCTTAAACCACTGCTGTTCCCCCGCTGATGACGCCACTGGAAAAGCGCCTTGTCCAAGAACACAAACGAAATGACAGAAAAAGATTGGGGGAAGCACTTTACGGGAAAAACAATCATACCCTACGAGCAGCAGCCGAGATACAAGCAGCCAGGCAGATGCGGACTAATTTCATTCCAGGGGGACCGGTTTTAGCGGCGAATGTCGACCCCGTGGACCTTAGCGGTCAGAAAAGGTCATATGCGGACCGATTTTAGTACGGTCCAATTTTTGCCGTGACAGGCTTATACCGATGTCCACTCTAAGGATTAAGTGAGAAAAATTAGGTTTGATGTTAAGTCTATTGCTCAGTGGTGGCGCCAGAAGGGGGGGGGGGGCTGGGGCTATATCCCCCCACCCCTTTGAAATACATCGTGGTTGGTGAATCAACCTCGACGATGACAGTGTGGTTGACATATTTCATGGAAAATTTCCAAAATGTAGAATTTCACTTTCAAGAATGAGGATTTTAAAATAAATTAGATGGTTACATTGCATACGCTTTGTTTCTTGTTTTATTCAATTTTTTGGTTTTGAAAGCTGATTGCGACATTAGAAAACATAGCCTACATGAAGTCATATAGTAACTCGATGCCTATAAAAATAATAAAATTTCGTCAAATATCCGTGGCTTCCAGGGGACCAAGCCCCCTGGACTCCGCCCCCTGGACCCCTGGGCGGCATCCTGGTCCCCAGCCAAGTTAGACTCGATTCCCTCCACTAGCCCCCCACCCCCGTCAGGGCCTTCAGTCCCTCCATCGGGCAGGTCCTGGAGCCATCACTGCTATTGTTTAAAAGGTGTCAAAGTATAAATTTTAATGATATTTTTTTTCTCAAGGACGATTTTTCTGGTTTGAATGTTTTCAATGGGGATGAGTGAATAAGGCGCGAGCTTTTTGGGAGTGTGTGCTCCCTCTTCGCCTAGATACGCACCAGTGCATATAAAAATATCTTTAGCACATTTGTGATTCCAGTGAAATATAAAATCACTTGCATAATTTCAAAAAAAGTGAATACCTTGCAGTAACAATTAAATTCACTTACCAACTCCTGATGTACATCATCTATAACTTCTTCTTCTGCAAAATCTAATATTTCCAGCACAAGATTTTCTGGTGGTATTTTCAGCACAATTGTACGTAATAAAGTTATGCCGAGCTACGAAAAAAAGATGTAATAAAGTTCATAAAGTTATATAAAGTTTGAAAGGCAAATGGGAAAAACCCATGAAACAGCAAACGGCCGTATAATGCAAAACAATTTAAAATTAAAATTAAAACGGAACAGTAGAGAAAATCCGATCAGAATGACAAAATAAACTAAGCATCCACTGGAAGGAATCCCAATATCTGCAGACGGATCCGTTTCGGCCTTCCAGGCCTCATTGGTGCAGCTAGGGTACAGACCCAAACGAAACGTTCGACCAGCTTAGGCAGAGCCCAAACTAGTCCCACGACCACTAATGATTACAGAGCCAAACCAAGGCAATATATATACACAGCCCATGTGTGAATGCAAATAGTGGAATATATATTAACACTGTTATTTTGAAGGAGTTATTTTAACTCGAAAGGAGTTATTCTGTACCTTTTTTTAGGTACAGAATAACTCCTTTGGAGTTAAAATAACTCCTTCAAAATAACAGTGTATACATATATAAACACTTGTTTATTTTAAAAGAATTGTGATAATTGGCCCTAACTCTAAGCCTATCACAATTATATTGTTTATTTGTATAATAGATCTCTTGTATCAGCCACATTTTGTCATTTGGTTTTGTAAGTTGAGAAAACCAGAGGACTGGTCGAAAATTTCTTTTGAAATAAACAAGTGTTTTATAGTACACATGACTCGTTGCTTCAATTCCTTGTTTCAACGCCTTTTATATAATTTCAAGAATACACATGGATTTATGACGATATATATACGTATATATATACACGCATATATATCTGTCTCTTATACACATCTAGATGTGTATAAGAGACAGGTTCTTATGTTAAGTATAAATTTATTATTAAAAAGTATTGCAAGAATAATTATTTAAAAAATAATTTAAACAAATGCCAAAAGAAACTTGTCTAGCTGGTATATCACTTAGGCCCTCCAACAAGGTGTAGGTGGCCTCACTTTTTTCTTGGTTTGGCTCTGTAATTATTAGTGGTCGTGGGACTAGTTTGGGCCCTGCCTAAGCTGGTCGAACGTTTCGTTTGGGTCTGTACCCTAGCTGTACTGATGAGGCCTGGAAGGCCGAAACGGATCCGTCTGCAGATATTGGGATTCCTTCCAGTGGATGCTTAGTTTATTTTGTCATTCTGATCGGATTTTCTCTACTGTTCCGTTTTAATTTTAATTTTAAATTGTTTTGCATTATATGGCCGTTTGCTCTTTCATGGGTTTTTTTCCCATTTGCCTTTCAAACTTATATATTATTTAAGAATCTCTATTGAGATCCAGCGCCGCCATTGATGCACGGTAGAGATTGCATCTTTAGATCTTCGATCTTGTTCACAAATTCACGGACTAGTGCTGTCTCGTAAGAATTTTGTAAGACGCGTTAAGAATGACAAAATATTCTCTGTATCTACTGCAACCGAGCTGCATAGCTTGTATTCCACTATTTGCATTCACACTTGGGCTGTGTATATATATTGCCTTGGTTTGGCTCTGTAATCATTAGTGGTCGTGGGATACTATACTATACTCGGGGCAGATACAGATTTGTATCAGGTAGTGCAAGTAACGGTTCCCACAATACAATACAAACAACTTTATGCTACTAAATCAACTCGATGGGAGTGTAGTGATTTATTTGGCCGCTGCAGGAAGGATATATAAAAGAAAGAATGTCGTAAAACAATACAAATCTGTGTATTTTTATAATAGTTCAACTGCAGCGCCAAATCTCCCTATGCCTAACTAGCATGTAAACTTATCGTTTGTTGTGAATATCTTTAAAATAAATTATGCTAAAAAAAGTTAGAGTACTCAGTACATACGTATCTTTCATTGACTTGTCCATTCTTCCATTTAATACTACGTCGTACCTCATCCCATCTCTTGTCACTTATGGCGTTGATTAAGTCACCACTAATAATGAACAAAAAAAACGTAACAAATTGCCGTAAGTACATTCATATATTTTAATCAATTTATGAAATTCATAATTCATAATTCATAATTTTATTTCACTCAAAACATAATAATGAGTCTGGTAGACAAAAAGGGAACATGTCCCTGTACAAGATGTCTACCAGAAAAACATTGATAAAAGTAAATACATAATAATAATAAATAATAATAATAACAATAATAATAACAATAACAAAAATTATAAGAATAACAATAATAATAATAATAATAATAATAATAATAATAGTAATAATAATAATATAATAATAACAAGAAAAAAAATATATATATAAAAAATAAAAAATAAAATTAATTAAAAAAAATATTAATAACAATAATAAAAGTAATAATGAATGAAGATAGTTAATAAAACATGATTTGTTGGGCAGAACTGTCATGAAGGTGTTGTATTTAATAATGATATTCTAAAAGATTGAATTGTAGAAGACATACGTATTGAAATAGGGAGATTGTTCCAGTTGGTTGGTGTACAGCGAAAAAAGGAGTTGTGAAGTGCATTACATTGGGCATGAGGAAGATAGAGCGTTGGGTGCGGTTTACGGGTATTAAATGAAATATAACTATGGGAGTCGATTTTGATTTTATTATTAATTATTTTATACATGAAAATGAGACTAAGAAATATTCTTCTGTGTTCTAAGGAGGTAAGATTAAGTCGGGCAAGTCGGTCTTCATATTTGATATATGCATTATTGGTTGGATGGCGAGCAGAATTCAAGAGAAATCGGGTAAAGTTTCTTTGGACCGATTCAATATGCTTTGTTTAAGTTTTACCTTGGATACCTTATATTTACATAATAGTGATTTTTAAGGGACCATAAAAACTCATTTAATTACATTAGCATTTGTTTAAAATAATTTGCGTTATGGTTTAATTTAAATTTTATTTGGCATTGGAACAACTTTGTCCAAAAGTATTACCTGTACTACCTCTACAAATTAACACATTTTTAGATAAATTTACTTCGATTGTCTTAATTCTACAATGTGTCTACATACATTACATTATTACTGACATCTCTTTAAAATCATTCATTTCGCCAAATAAACAAAATGGAATATGCAGCAGGATTGCCCAAATGCATGACTTGCCAACGAGAGGCTCTCCTTATAGCCCCCAAAACAAACATATATACTGCTTAAGAAAGTCTAAATTATTATATAAAATATTCTAACACTAAAGTAGGAAAAAGCATTAAATAAAAAAGCTGTATATACACATCAAGCAACGCAATTTAAATTTCTAAAATAGGCTACTTTATCATTATACACAACAATAGAACTGCAAGTAAGAGAAACAGTCTTATGAAAACGGCCAACAAACAAATCAACTACAAAGGCAAAATGACTTGAGCTTTGTTGAGATTAAAAAGAAATTCAATATGAAGATCAGCAGGAAGATTGCACTATACCTAGGAAAATAATGAAACAAAATTTTGACATTATCCTAGCAAAGGCATGCTTAAAAAAGGTTCTTGAAATAACAACCGTTAATTAATATAAACTGTAAATTGTGTATGTTAGAATTACCATATATACACTTTTAGATAAAAATAACAATAATACGATTTTGAAAGGACATAATGTTAAGATTATCAAATGTTTGTGTATAAATTAGATATGATAACAAAAGGAAGGGTATAAATTCCATTTCATTTACTTCCTTAAAAACTCCCTAGGAGGAAGTAATAATAGTTCAAAACTGAGTATGTAGTTTTATTATTGATTTCCTAAATTCGTATTTTCCTTTTCGTATATAAACAATGGTCTTTTTACCCCAAAAATAGGTTGTGACGAACATAAAATTATGATTTTTTTAAATTGAGATTCCAAATTGAGTCCTATACTATGTGATTCAATCATTATCACAGGGGTTTGCGGTTTTTTTTTTTTTTTTTTTTTTTTTTTAGGTTTGAGGGGGTTTGCGGGGTCGCAATACCCACCCGTATTGACGTTTTCATTTTTTTTTTTCGTTAAGAAAATCTTGAATTTGACCAGTAAGATGACGCGATGAGAGTTGAAAAGGAGCCGGATCATTACCGGATCAATTTGAACTGATAATAGGCAAAAATGACCAGATTTGTGTAAAAAACGACCAAATTCTTGTCATAAATAGTCAACTAGAAAAACGGGTCATTTTTTTTACCAGGTCGTTTTTAGAGACCTCTACAAATTAACAATGTTATTTTTAAATAAATTTACTTCAATTGTCTTAATTATACAATGTGTCTACATGCGAGAGTGACGGCCACTGGAACGAATACGAAAAGGAAAATACGAATTTTTGAAATCCATAATAAAACTAATGAACAATTGAATGTTTTAACTGTTTACTCAACTCTCAACCAAGAAAGCACAACAAAATATATAGCGGATATATCAGTATGGTAATATACATTTAAACAATTATAAAATAATAAGATTAAAAATGCCTGTAATCAGAGTAAATAGCTCTTTTTCTTAGCTATTAAATTATTAAACAACAATATTTCGTTATAACGGTCATATAATTACCTAGAGAGCTGTGCAGAACCCATCGTCTTTGTAGATCTGTCAACGATTGATGTTGCTATAGGGAACATTGCTGAGTAAAGCATCGCATATAAAGTACGGTACATCACGGTCATTAGGCATTTTTCGTTTTGACTACGCGGACAGTCTACTACGAACTAATAGAGCGTAACAGTCATCTGCGCATGCTCACAAACCTTACTGGCTAAATCGGCGTTGTGATAGCTTCCGCGACAACCCCAATTTCTGAATTTGGGCGTAGTGGCGACTACCCTAATATTGACCAATCAGATAACCGGATTCTTTGGCAAACTGCTGGTAATTTTTTTGCTGGGGGCTGCAATTTTCATCGCATCCGCGATCGAGCATTGTTCGTTCAATAATGAATTAATTATTAATACAAGTGAGTAATTAAACGTTTTATGAAGGCCTATTTATAAATAAAGAATGAATTATAGTCACAGCATAAAATTAGGTAAATCAGGGGATAGTTAAAAAAGGGGCCTCTTAGGCTCAGAGGCCTAGGCTAGCCTAGCCTTGTCAGAGTGGATTTCGGGTAGGAGAAAACACATTATCTGGTACCGCTAGGTAGGGCATCTGCGACCATATGATATCGTGGATCAAGCCTTGCTATATAAATACCTCTGATGAAAATTGTTATGTACATTTATTTGTACATCATCGTTGCATTTGGCAAATTGCCTGAGCAGGCCTGACACCCCTCTTCTCCCGGTTCCCTACACTTTTGACGCCTAGGCTATGACTAGCGTAGGCCTAGATCCTAGCCAAACGAAACATATCACTCAGTGTTTTCTGGAAACCTTTTTAGTTTGCATGCAGTATTTGACTAAAGTTTTTTTTTTCACATTTCTTTTTACAAATATAAAACAAGGAAACATTGTTCCCTGGTAATAAAACCATTGTCGACTAACTCCCCTCCGTAGGCCTACGTACGTGTGCTGCGTCGCCGTTTTAGATTACAACAACCCGATATTAGACTCAATCAACATTGCTGTTTAATGAAAATACGTTGCATTATGGTTTGTTTATTGTTATAGTTTATTGTTATAGTCTTTTTACTTATGGTTGCTCTGAAAAGGGCCGTTTGTTTTGAATATTTTCGGGTTTTTGATGACGTCATTGTCGATACGAGGCGTACGTAAAACCGAAGGTTCGTATAACTGGGGTACGTAAAAACGAGGTTCTACTGATTACAAATCTGCACATTACACTAACATCTCAATGCATTTTACATTTTGACATAAGACGAGAAAATAAATTGAAAATAAATAAATATGAAATGAATAGAAACAGGTAATAAGTAAATGATTAAGTGAACATGCAGGTGTACAACCCAGGGAGAGAATGTTGTACATTTTGCCTGGCCGGATTGCAAGTTATTTAATGATCCAATTATAACATCACCAATGCCTTGTATCACTTTGCAAAGTCATGACAATATAAATTCCTATATTATCATTATATATCCTTTAGGAAATATATTCAACTTCACTGTATTACCTTTTGCTGGAGATAGCCATGATCTGCTCCTTGACAGGCGCCTTAAGTCATCGGAATAAACAGTAAAATACATATAGGCCTAATAAAGTAAATGTTACCGATTTATATACGGTATAATTCCCTTGTAACTATTAGCAATTTATAATACTTTTTTTAAATTATTATTACTCATTTTATGTTCTGTTTTGCCAGGGAAGACAATCTTATTTATTCAGACATAAAATTATCAGTGGCGTATTTAGAAGTCTTGAATTGGGGTGGGGGGGGGGGGGGGGGGGTGAAGTTGGAGCTCGATGATCAGTTGAGGGGCGCTAATTCGCAAAATATGGTGGTTTTAGGTGATTTTTAACTACTTGACCGTGATTTCTTTTGTGGGGGGTGAATGGGGCGAGGGGGAGTAACTTTTTTGTTGGAGTGCGCCACCCCCCATGCGCCATCCCCTAGACACGCCCCTGAAAATTATCTTGTACCTGGTATCATACACCATAAACATATCCTCATTAATTGTAAGTACGGTAAATCTAGGAGTTTCACAAAAGGTACAATATGTTAATTCACATTATGTTACTGATTTTATGCAACTGATACTCTCTAAATACTTAGGAAAAACGGTTTAACCAACTTTTAGCAAAGAAAAGACTTGTATAATAGTCTTTTGTAGTTCCCTATGTGGCAACTGGATAGGTCCTTGGTAATACAGTGTATTGTCATGTCATTGCTATGGGAGACACAATCTTTTGGCGTTTGTCGATTGATTAGTGTAGTCACCCTACTTCACATGTTCAGTGATGTGTTTTGGTTTTCACTTTATTACAAAAATATTCATCGAATGGTTATTACTTTTAGTTTCTTTAAACATTTTTTGTATAACTTATATTTTTTCTCGCAGGCCATAAAAATTTGCTTCGCTGGCCCGCGGGCCGCCTATCAGAACCAGGGCTTTAAGCCAAGAGCAAGAAGGTGCTGCTAACAAAAATAGTAATCCATCATGTTTCAAATTATGTTTCATTAGGCCAAAAAAAAAATTGTTTGTTTGCCCTCCTTCATCCGCCCCTAACTCACTGAAAAAATAGTGGCGGAAAAACAAAAAACTCAAAAAAAAAAAGGGGCAAACAAACAATTGATTTTATTTGGCCTTATATGCATTTAAGTTATGTTTCTATTGTTTGCATATGTTCAGCCTCTACATATGAATACTGTAATTTATACAACTGTGTGTATTTAGTGGGGGGGGGGATATACTCTCAAAGTGGTATTAATTTGAATAAATGCGCCGTTGTTAAGGAAAAGTCTCCATAGTAACAGAAATTGATATTTTTGTAGTTTTTTGAATTTTTTCGTTAATTTCCAAGAATGGACCGTGAAAACAACGACGCATATTTTCACAACATTAATGGTGACATAAAACACCAACATTACATGAAAGCAAGTACTTCCACGACGTATACTTTTTAAACTCAAGAAATAAAACTTTGGACTCGGGCCCACGTCCTGCAAAAGTACGATGCCTAGAAAAAGCACAAAAATGTTTAAACACAATGCCTTGCATATAATATACCAACATAACATAAAAGCAAGTACTTCAACGATATGTACTTCGAAACTCAAGAAATAAAGCCTTTTTGAGGTCTCGTCCCCCGCAAAAGTATGATGCCAATCACAAAAGTACGTATACGTTTATTTATTCAGTTTCTTTGTATTCTTACAAAATCGTACTTTTGTGATTGGCATCATACTTAAAAAAATCCTATTCAAACTTTAATAGGACCCTTCAATAATATTAGGTTTTAGAGGCTATAGTTATTATTTATTTACAATTTAAAAAAAACAACACCAATGTTTGTGATAAAGTATTTTAAAGTTTGCAATGTTCAACTATTATTGTGTACGTTTTCAAACACTTTAGATCACCATGACTTCATGAATACATTTTAGATTCAGTTCACTGCAAGTAGGTCGATGACTGTTCTATTATTGAATGGTAATTGTTATCATCGTGATGGAATAGACAATACCTGGATTTGCGTCAGGAGAATCAATTAGGGGGCCTATATGTATTTTGCCCAACCTGTCGTGAAAATGTATTGAATACTCAGTGCGTGATTCACTAATACACTTTTTGAAATCACATTTCTAAAGCAATAAAATATCGTCACGCACATTTGTATTTGTGGTATTTTTAAGTTGGTTCAACTATTATTGTGTCCGTTTTTAAACACTTCAGATCATCATAAATTCATGAATACATTTTAGATTCACTTCACTGTAAGTAGGTCGATGACTGTTCTATTATTGAATGGTAATTGTTATTATCGTGATGGAATATACAATACCTGGATTTGCGCCAGGAGAATCAATTAGGAGGGCCTATATGTGTAATTTTGCCCAACCTGTCGTGAAAATGTACTGAATACTCAGTGCGTGTGAAAACACTTGCAAAATATATTTGCAAGTTGTTCTCCAGTGGGACTTGAACCCACAATCTCCAGATCACTAGCCTGGCATCATGCCTTTAGACCACCGAGCTTGCATCTGATGGCCAGGGTTGAATTCGAGCCAAATAAGCAGCGAGTACTATTTTTGCAAGTGTTTTTCACATGCACTGAGTATTCAGTACATTTTCACGACGGGTTGGACACAATTCCACCTATATGTTCTATTGATGATGTTGTCAATATTATAATATATCATAGATTCATGAAATGCTTAATAGGCCCTAAACGATAACATGACTTGACCATAGTTTGTTCTCAATATTCTTTAATTTTTTTAACAAAATATTTTTTAGATATTTCTGAGCGTTAATGCTGTACCGTATCTGTTTTAAAAACCTCAGAACGTATAAGCATTCAGAGTTTCGCCTGATAGACCCCACTAGAGGCTCTGTCTCTATGTCCGATCAGGTGCATTTTTACCAATTTTACCTAGGGCCCAGCAGTTATCTATGCCATAGTCACCAACCGTCACGCATCACTTCAAAGTGATATTAGATGAAACGCATTTTGCAGAAACACATGCGAGGTCATAAATGTGTCACGCATTTAGTACTTGCATGATAACGAATTATCACAAAATCAGGGGAAAACGTATTTGAAATTAGAAGAAAGTGGTTTTATTAAAAATATAAAAACGGTATACAGTAGCTTGAGTCATTAGGGAGCTTTCTTTATCTCGTTTGAGAATCAATTCACAGAGAAAATTTTTCCTTTCCGACCAAAACAAACCAGCCAACCACGCACTTGTAGAATCTAGTAGTCGCGAGCAGTCTTGCGAGTTTATTGTTACAACCAACCGTTTAAAATGTGACGGGAACCCGAACTTCCACAGGGGTTCCGTAATAATACCGTATACACTCGCGTAGGTCCTATAAGGTGACCCGTGTATAAGACGACCCCCGAGTTTTAGAAGATTTTTGGTTGATATTTGTATGTCTGGCGTATAAGACGACTCCCTGTTTCATGGTCAGAATTCCTAATTTTTTTGTGGTCCTGTATACTGCCTCTTGCTGGATAAATGGAGCCAAATGCAAGGGTAATCTTCCAAATAATACCATTTTATGAGTTCTTAAATCTTCACCACCAAAAT